TCATCATTACCAAGTATAAGAAAAAGATTAAAACTGTGAACATTAAAATGGCAATAAATTCATAGCTATCAACAGTTGAATCTAAAAAGCAAACCAAGCAAATAAGCAGAACAGAAACAAAACCATAGATATGAAAATCATTTGGAGAGTTACCAGTTGGGAGGGGGAGAGGGGAGAATGGGGGAAAATGTGCAGGGATTAAGAAGCACAAATTGGTAGCTACAGAATAGACAGGAGAGTGTTAAGAACAGTATAGGAAATGGAGCACCCAAAGAACTTACATGCATGACCCATGGACATGAACTAAGGGGAGGACTGCTGGAGGGAATGGGGGTACCAGCTGGAGGGTGGCAAAGGGGAAAAACTGGGATAACTCTAATAGCATAATCGATAAAATATATATATTTTAAAAACCAACAATGTTTCTTTCATATCTTTGGAAAGTAGTATTTAAGTGACAAGTTAGTATTTCCGTAAGTCGATAAGCTCAGGTCACTGATTACCAAGCAGGTGTAATGTCTTCCTAATTCCACTTTATAAATTGTCTAACATATGTAGACAAAGTAACCTCTAGAAAACTGTTTAACATCAGTACTGCTTAGATAAGGTGAGATTATTCAAGATTATTAGGGAACTTTTTCTTTACCTTGTTTTTAAAAAGGCTGTTTTGAGAGTATATTTTAAAGGGCCTTTAGCTCTAACTGATAAAGTCAGTAAATTCTTATGTTAAATCCAGGGCAAGAAGATGTTTAGTATGAATAAGACTTGCTTTCCTTCCAACAGTAATACTAGCTGAACAAAGTTCAAATGAGAAATAAGATAGTGTCCTTTATATATTTTACTGAAAACTCCACCACCAGAAATACTGAGTCACTTCTAAGAGACACTGTGTCACTGAAGCTAGTTCACAACTTGACAGGGAGTGTAACACATCAAAAAGAGAAACGTTTCAGGATTTCCGTGGAGCCATTGAAGTGCTTTCGGTGTGCGGAGAAAGAGTTCTGTGGTCTGAGGAGGGGTTCTGACCCAGTGCAGGGGGAGTCTGCACTGCTGGAGTGGTGCAGCTCTTCACATGTTGGGAAAAACCAAGTTTCTGTTGCTGGTCCTATTGACGTCACCAAATTAAATGCCAGCTATTAAGGTTTTCTTTTTAGGCCACCAGTGATGTTCCTTTGTGACAGTTTTACAGGGGGAAGAGAAGTACTTCACGAATTTGTGAGTGCTCAGAAAATATTAACTCTTTTAGTTGGTGCTGTGGGCTGGGACTGCGATATGTATTTCAAGGATGAGGAGGAAACTTCTTGCCCTCTCGTTGTTCGTGGTTGGAGACCAGAGAGTAAGAAATCAACTGCATACTAGTCTTGATAATCATGAGTGTCGAAAGAAGAAGAGAATCTCTCAGTTCAAGATGTGCAGAGACGGTGCTGAGCTGAGTATTGAAGGATGAGTGAGGGTTTGTCTGCAGGGAAGGAAGGGCGTTCCAGGCAAAGTCTGGAAGAGAACAGTGCATCTGGGGACCCGAAGGTTGATTGGTAAATGGTAGCCCAGGAAACCGTGGAATAGTGGCAAGAAATAAAGCCAAAATGGTAGCATGAGGCTCTCTTCATGAGTGATCTTAATTCTAAGTTACTAGCTTTGGGCCTTGAGTCATGGCTTCGAGCCATTGGAAGTTTGCACAATTGAGACAACTGAGAGTGGGTATTTGAAGGGTGGAGAAAGGGGTGCAGGTAAGAGATGAGGGAGCAGGACACCATGAAGAGATAATCAGCAATTTGTGGAATCTTTTGAGGAGCCTGTGGGCCTTAAGGTGAAGACAATTAGGCTTTCTAAGTCTGTTTCCTCTTCTGTGAAACAAGAACTTTAAATACCTGCGTGCAGTATTGCCTTAAAAATAACAAAACTGTGCACTTGGGACCTAGTACAGAAGGCCACCTTTAAGGAGCAGCTAGGGAAAGAGAATTGCTGAAAGAGATTGAGTAGCATCACTGGGAAGCTGGCAGATAATGATCAACAGCAGCACATCTCAAAATGTGGTCAGAGAGGACCGAGGGGTGCGAGGTGAGCTTCTGAGTGTAGATGGGCGGTCACTTTAGCCAGAGTGCTTTCGGTGCAGGTTTGTGGCTGGAAGCCAGGTTGCAGCTGATTAGGGAGTGAACATGCAGTAAGGAGATGTTAACCACCTTTTTCTATTTTAAAGCTTAGTTTTAAAAGATTCTGTGTGTGCTTTTTTTTTTTTAATTTGTCCCACTTGTCATAAAGCTGCACCTGCAAGGTAGTGCTTTCAGTCACCTCCGGTTGTTTAGATAACCGTACAGTTTTGGAAGTTTATCTCTGTGCCTTTCCTAGTTACTTCATGCCTGGTTTGAGGACAGTTTAATATCTTAGCAATATTTTTATTCTCTATGGAGTAAATATTTTTATCAAAGAGATGATTAAAGTAGCTTTTCTTAAAAAGGAAGCCCAGCTTACTAATGTCGAGAGTTGGAATAGAGATGCAAAATTTAGACCAGAGCTGGTATGTGTTTATTTTTTTATTCTCTTAAGAGTTTTCAAGCATTTGCAAAAGTGAAACTCCCAAGTCCCAATCAATCCAGCTTCAACACTTATGATTTTGGCAAAGTTGTTTCATGTATTCCTTTTGCAACCCACTCCTGCCCCTCCCTTTTTTCCTGGACTGTTTAAATGATAGACCTCTCGTCATTCCACCCATGTACTTTAATGTACATCTCAGAATTTATTTTAAACAAAAATAACCACTATAGTATTATCACACATGACAAAATTAATAGTAATCGAGAAGAAGAATTCATCAAATTCCCAAAGGAGTACGTGATACAGAAAAGGTGAAAAACTGCAAGTCTTGCCACTTAATAGTGTGCACTTTTGGACATTGGCCTCTCATGTACTCGAAAACTGCTGTTTCTACTCCCCCACCCCCACCATTCCTTAGATGTGATAGGCAGCTACAGATTAAGAGTCCTTGGAATTAAGGCTCTTTCTAACCTAACCAAAAATGATGCCTAATTTTTTATCACTTCAGATTTTTACTGTATCTTACTCTAAACTGCACAGTATTTTATCTTCGTATCTTGAGTTCTCACTCTCCTTATGTTTACTGTGTGGGAAAAAATCTTGGTTTTATTTGGCCTATGAAAATGTCAAGTAGTCAAAGGAGGCTTGTTTTGTGATCAGTGGACAGGTGAGATGAAAATTAAAACTCTCTTGGATTCAGTGAGAGGTGGTTTCCTGCTGCAGTCTGGAGTTGTCCTTACATATTCCTTACGTAGCTGCATTCCTTACGTAACTGCAGCACATCGTCAGAACCAGGAATCTGACAGTAGTGCAATCAGTGTTCGTGGACAGTTCTCACATTTTATCACGGGCAGATTCGTGTCACCATCACTGCAGTGAAGATCCAGAACTATTCCATCACCACAAATACCCCCGGCACTCACTCACTGTGGTCATTCCTCTCCCTTTGCCCCACCATCTCTAACCCATGGCAACCATTAATTTGTTCCCCGTTTCTGTAGTTTGTTATTTTGCAGTGGTTATGTAAATGGATTCATAAAGTATGTTTTAAGATTGTCCTTTTTCATTTAGCATAATGCCCCCGAAATCCATTCAAGTTGTGTGTATCAGTTCATTCTGAACATGTTTCTAAAGTACGACTAAGTGCCCTACTCACTCACTGTACCAAAACGCAGTCCACCCAAAACTGCCCAACCTCAAGTTTAAATATTTTCTGGGTATTTTTTACACTGTATATAATATGTAATTTTAATGAATATATAAATTATATTTACATTGTAAAATTACTGTTAAAACAGTCTTAAATAGATTATATATTTGAATTACATAGATAAAAAAGTATATAGACATTAAGTTTACAAAGCTTAGAAGTAGTATGAGACCAGTGTTAATTGGTTATCCTGTTTTGTAAATGGATTTTCATTTGAACAGGCAAAATTTGGGTGAGCTGTTCCTTTTGTTTTCTTTGGAAATAATTTCAAGTTTACATAGTTAACAAGAATTATATTGAACATTGCATACTCCATTTGCTAACTTTAGCATTTTGCCACATTAGTGCTATTCATTCCCTCCATATGTCTGTACGTACATACATACAGATATATAAAATTTATTTTTTCAGAACTGATTGGGCTTAGGTTGCATACATCATGACATGACCCTTTATCCATAAGCATGTCAGTATATAATTCTGCAGAACAAGGTTATTCTATTACACAGCCACAGCACAGTTGGCACATTCAGGAAATTTAACATTGGTTATTTTTGTCTAATATAGTTTATGTTTCAGTTTTATCAGTTTTGTGTGTGTGTTTTGTTTTTTTCTCATATTTCCCTGCTCCTGTACAGAATCCAGTTCAGGGATGAATATTAGTTGTCTTTTTCTTTTTAATTTTCTCTAAGTTAGAACAGTTCTTCAGCCTTTGTCTTATATGACATTAAAATTTTTGGAGTATATAAGTCAGTTATTTTATAGAATGTTCCTCATGATGATTCCTTGTGGCTGAAATATCCCAGGAGTGCTGTTTTTCTTGGGGAATTAAATCTAAAAACACACAATATCCATCAGCATCTTGTTAGTGTTGTCAATTTTGATCACCAGATGAATGTTGCTCTGTTTCTCCATTTTATGATTACTGTCTTTACCACTACAAGTAATAAGCATTCTGTGGGCAGATACCTTTGAGACCATGGAAATAATTTGCTCCATCAAACTCCCCAAGTTTTAGGGATGGTTCTTAATGATTTTTGCTCAAACTAACCTTTATTTTAAGAGTTCGAAGTCAGTGGGAGCCAGCCTTTTTAAATAACCTTCTCCTGAAAATTCATCTTGCTTTGGTAACATGTATTTACTTATTTGTTTTGCAGCTTTAATCTGTATGAACTGCATATAATAATTGCTAGTTGACTTTAACTTAAAATGGTTTTGAAAACTGAGTTTATCATTAATCCTTTGCTGCCCTCTACAGGTCTATGAATATAAATCTTTGGAGCAAGGTAAGTACTAATGCAAATTCCAAGGTGATGGATGTATAAGTTATTAAGAACAAATGTTATAGTATGTGTACACATTTATGATATATTATTTTAAGCTAGTAAGTTTAGAATCTTGAAGTTGATAATTTTAAAACTGCTTTTCTAAAGCATGAAATTTATTATTGAAGCAATCCTTGACTTCTTAGTCCTAAATTCTTCATAGGTTTTTAACTTTTCCAAAGGACAACTGTCAACCTTATTGTCTTGATATTTGACCATTAGGTGTAATAGTTAATTTTTAAAATATATACATTCTGATATATTTATATATGTGTATCCATATATGAATGACATACTGACCAGTTTGAAACTGCTGTCTTTTTTAAGAAGTTGACTGCTTTTATACAGGAAATACAGTTATCCTTATGTTGAATCATTGGACATATTTGTAACTAAATGAAATCAGAATGTGCATCATTGACTGGAATTTCCAATTTAAATATTTTTTAAAATCTAAATGTTATCCAAGTTTAAGTATTCTGCTATTTAGACTGTGTAGTCAATTATAATATATGGTGGAGATAGTTATATTTGGAAATAATTTTTCAACTAGAAAGATTTTTTTACTGGTTTATTCATTAAATATGTCTGTTTAAATTTGGTATGAAATGTGACTGACTTAATGTACGGCTACAACTTCTGATAGAATTTATTGTCTATCTTCTGTACCTGTCTGTGTTGGTTAAAAAACAGTTTGTAGGTGATGATTGTTTTACTTTGTTTCTGAAGAGTTTCTACCTCAACTATCCTTTGAATTTTAACCACAGCATGATTTTCATGGTGGAGGGAAGTGGGATATGGTTAATTTTGTCAGATCTTATATTAGCAAATAAATAGCAGTAGTAGTAACTGCAGTTTGAGTTATTAACACTTATAATATGTGCCAGTGCTATTTTAAGAACAAGTAAATTTAGTAGTAGAGTACACATAATGTAGTTTATGATTCTAACGCTTTGGAAAACAACTAGATGTTTTTGTTCTTATTTTCTTCAGCCCAAGGATATATAGTCGAATATTGTGTTCAAAAGTTAAAAGTCAGTGCTACAGAGTTTGTAATCGTTTTTATTATAAAATACATAGTTGGATTTTTTAAATTAAAACTTGGCCAGCAGAATTAATGTTGAGTAAGTGTTATGTTTGTCTTTCAGTGTCTCTACATTCAGTTGATACAAACGCATGAGAACAAACACAGAACTTTTGGCCTCTTTTGTTTTAATGTCATTAAAACGACTGGGAAAAGGTTGTTGAAAAACTAAAAAATAAATAAGTAGTCCAGGATATTTTACTGTATTATTTCTGTAATACTTCATTTAAAAGGAGGCAACTGGTCCAGTTTCCACAAGACCAAAAACAACATGAAAAATAATATTCATCGATAATTCTTACAAGCTCTTTCCTATTTATAACGATTCATTTAAAACAATATATAAGCAAATCAGTTTAGAGTTTTTCTTAGTGACATTTTATAAAACATTGCAGTTTTCCTTCAACATGGGTTTGTTTTGGTTTTGTTTTTAAAAGACAAACCTATTAAAAACAAAACAATCTCCTTGGCAGGTGGGGGTGGTGTTAAATTACTGTGATATAGAATAATACCTTATTGGGGAGAAGCTTTATTATTTCAAGAATTCAATTTCAGATTGTGTTTGTTCTTATTTGCCTCTCTTGCTGCAATGCACAAATTTTCTGTCTTTCCAGATAACGGAACTGTTGTACAAGGACGGACGTTATTGCCAGGAGCCTCCGGGACCGGCGGGTAGCGTTTCAATTTCGATGATTGTAACTTATCCACAAATCCATTCTTCTGTGTAATGATGGGCTGGAAAGATTACAGCAGTAAACAGTCTCTTTTTGAAAGTGAAATTTGAAAACATTTGGTTATCAGTCTTTATGTTGATAACCACAACATTTTGAGATCTGTGAGGTGTTTGGTTTTTATCATAATTATTTTCTTAAAAGACAGTTTTGGAAGGCTTTTTCTTTTTAGAAATTGAGGAAATGCTTCTTATAGCACCTATGAACATAGCCTTAAAAATCAGTCATCCTTACTGTTTATGTGATTTTAATGTTTTGCAAGTGTTAATTTTAAACATATGAAGTAAAAGTAGTAAAGAGGTCTTGTAGATTTTTTCCACTTAAATATAAACTATTACATTGTTTGACATTTAATCATTTTCATTTTTTTATTTAATGAGGACTTGAATGTATGGTTTTCTATAAGGTACCTTTCTTGAAAGTTCAGATTTTCTATACTAGATATTAACACATGGCCCTATACATTTTATGCTTGAATGCATAGAAAAATTACTGCTGTTATAAAACATCTTTGTTAATCTTGGTTTTACATTGGCTAATAGGCAGCTCTCCACAGCATTACTGTATCTGCTTATTAAAATTATTTAGCTTTCTACGTACAACATTTAACCATCCTTTCTAATTTTATATGTTTCCCTAAATATTGCCCATAAAAAGTTAGTGTAGAAATGTGCACAGGCATGTATTTATTCTCAGCACTGTGATTTGGACAGGAAAGGGGTGAGGCCTTTGGGCAGGACCACTTCTGTCACAGAGTGGTCTGAAAAATAAATTGAAGTAAGATTCAGTACTGAAAAGCTGTCACTCGGTCTGAAAATAATTAATATTCCCTTCACTCACCAGTTAGATATGTGCTCCCAAACCACATAATCTCTATGCCTCAGTGATCATTGTTGCCATTTCAGAGCCTCTCATCAGGGTGACATCTCACACCAAAATGATTTCTTATAAATTAATCTTGATAACATGACAGTCTCAGTAATTTTAGTGGAATGCTTTCTCTTGTTTTTTTCCACAGAAGCTGTTGGCTATTTTCTTTATAACTTGATTGACAGCATGAGTGACTCAGAGGTACAGGCCAAGGAGGAGCGTTTGAGACAATACTTCCATCAGCTGAAGGAGATGGTACCATTTCATTTTTTGCTATATAATGCCTGTCCTGCCTGACATGTATCTATTAGATTTGAAATTGCTGCTTTTAAGTACAACCAGACCACTTCTCAATGACATACACGAGTTGGAGACTTAAATTATGTCTGAGATAATTTCTGTTAGACAAATTTCAGTTTGCTTGTCTAAAACTGAGGTTTTTTTTTTTTTTTCCCCTCCCTTTCCTTACCACAGAATGTAAAAATTCCTGAAAATATCTACAGAGGCATTCGTAATCTACTGGATAGCTACCATGTTCCTGAATTAATTAAGGTGTGTGAGAACTAGCAATCAACTTTTTAAAATAATGCTTAATTAATATTTAAAATCATGTTAAAATTTTATTTAAATATGATGCTTAGTCCAAAAAAAGTTTATTTAAATGGCAGTGATTTTAACAAGACTTTTTTATTGATTGTTGGTAAATACTGTTCATGTATCAGAGAATACATTTAAAACATTTGTTTTAGTGGTTAATAAAGTATGAACAGAATTTCTGGAAAATTTTGGAAAGATGGAAAAATAGCAGTAAAATGAGGGGAGAGGTTCAAAATTTGCTTTTGACATTTGCTAATATATTTTTCCATGTGTTTTCTAATTCTAATAATTTAAATCCCAATTTTAGGATGTTAATGTGTTGGTTGAAAGAGAGAAGACAGACTCTCGAAAAGTAAGTAAGATCTTGAGTAGATTCTACATACTATAGTTAATGACATTTAATGAAAATTCTAGACTGACTGTATAAAGTCAGTGGTTCCTAACACTTTGCCATCAGTATACCTCTAAGAAGTTGGTAAAGGGTATTCTTCAACTCAGAAAAATCAACATGTCTAAGAAAATCGCATATAATCTCAGGAGTTTCATAATCCCCTACAGTCCATTCCCAGATTCCCAGATTAATGTCCTTGGTAGTAGCATTTGTGACAATTAGGAAAGGTTAGTTTAAAGGGAAGAATGGCAAGTGATACATTTTCTTTTTGCATTAAATTTCTTTCCTCTTTCTTTCCATTTCTGTGGACTATGCAGCTTTCGTCATCTGATTTGGAGCTTACACTTGAAAAACTAAAAGCTGAAAATCAACCTATAGGAGATGTCCTAAAGCAACTCATATTAATGCTTTGTTCAGAAGAGGTAACATTTGTTTTAATATTTCAAATATGCTATTACAGTAAAAAAATTCTTTATAGATAAAAGTAAGCAAAGCCAAATACAATATTTATGATTTTTACAATTGATTATTATACATCATGCCTGTGAGGAATGCAATTAAATGAAAGGTTAACTAATTTCAACTACACCTTGAATGGCATGTTTTCGGGTTGCCATAGTTTGTTTACAATAATCTGCAAAGTGAATGATAGAAACAGCCGTGATAGGTTTATCATACATGCCAAATGTCCTTTCAAGCCATGGCTCCGGTCTCTTATATCCAGATTGTCAAGCAACTGATACATGCAGTAGTCATTTGCAAGTCAAATATTAGTAGGTTGTTAATGCAGGGATTGAAATTCCATTTTCCTCCTGGAAAAAAGCTCTTTCTGAGATAAAGGGTCTCTTGCCTTTTTTTCAGCAGGCATACAGCTGTACTTTGTGTTTATTTTAGTGTGTGTCTGCAATTTGTGGCGTATCACTAGACTTTTTCAGTTTGTAGTTCAATATAATTTGGTCGTATGCCTGTGATTTTAGGGAACAAATACAACTGAGTTTAAGGCTATAACATGGTACTGTTAAATTCCAGACTATTTCTTTACATTACCAGGACAGTAAACTAGACTGTGAGGAACTGTGCAATGATACATGTTCTGTGTAGGGAAATGGTACTGTGAGTAGGAGGTGACTTGGTACATATTTAATCTGGAAGTCTTTTTTATAATGCACTACTAAAGCCAAAACATCAAATTTGGCATAATGGCCTGTTTGCATCACAGATAACAAATTTTAAAACCCTACATGTATATCTTACCTGCTTTTGAAAAGGTGAATGAAAACATCAAGTAGCGAGGTGAAGTAAATAACATGAATCCATTTACTTTAAAAGTACTCAACTTTTTCTACAGTTGGAACATAAAACTAACAAATTTTACATTTTCTTTTATATTTATTTTTTTTACTTCTATCCTTTATTTAGAACATGCAGAAAGCTCTTGAATTGAAAGCAAAATATGAATCAGACATGGTTGTCGGTGGCTATGCAGCTCTGATAAATCTGTGCTGTCGACACGATAATGCAGATGATGCACTGAACCTGAAACAGGAATTGTGAGTACCCTGGCACTGAAACATGTCGTTGGCGTTCGTGCCGAGACGCAGTCCTCAGTGGGCTGTGTGGATTGAACAGTACTTACTTTCATAATGTAATTTTTGAAATAATGTGCTTTTTTATCAGTATTTTTGCATAATATGAGACTCTGATTAATTATGGCTTGTTTTCAGCAAAGAGTCTTTGTTTAAGACATTCTATTCCTTTAAAGCCAGGTTTTTTCTCCACTTTTACAACTGCATATCACAACTGTGGTGATGGTAGCTATTTTATAAGATTTGTTAAACAGCCCCCTCTCTATACTGTAGTGTAAACAATTTTCTGTCCAATTTTTCAGGTATCTTTGGTTTCCCACCTTTTAGATTTATCAGATAAAAGTATGTGTCTTTGGGTATTTCAGTGTTCATTACAAAGTTAGAATCACCTGAAGTGCCACAAAGCAAAAGAATTCCTCCATTCCTATCATTTGAAGATGGAGTGATGCAATTTAAATGTAATGTTAGTTTTATTTCTTTTGTCACTTGAAATAACAAATTCACATGTTATTATATTTGAACTTGTTATTTGGTTATATGCCAAAAATAAATCCTAACTGAAATGTAGAGGCAAATATTTAATAACAATTCAGACCATCCGATGAGTTTTGGAAAGTGATAAAGTGGATATTACAGTTATTTTTTGTAGTTGAATTGACTTTCAGCATAATACAAATGTGGCTTTAATTTTTAGTGACCGTTTAGATTCATCTGCTGTCCTTGACACCAGCAAGTATATAGGCCTTGTAAGAGTGTTGGGAAAACATGGCAAACTCCAAGGTAAGCCCAGGCATATAAAGGAAAGATGTGATGCAAGTATCTTGCCACTGGAATAATATGTGAATTGATATTAATGGTATATCATGTCCTGCAAAGTGCTTGAACACTTTGCATACAAATTTGCATGTGAATCCAACCAGAGCTGCATGGACAGTGTAGGCCATTAGTTTTAATGGATTGGCAAGCTTGTCATTTACATTTGCACAGCTCAGTGCTTTTTGCATTTCTGCAGCTAGTTTTTATTAGCATTGCTGTTTGGATTGAGTTTGAAGATCATGACTTATGGCACGATTTGCTTATGTGCCTGCACTAATGGCTTTGTTTTTGCCTAAGAACATCTGAAGGCTGAACATAAAGCCTCTAAATATAACTTTGATTAAAGAATGTGAATTTTGCAGTAGTCATTGCCTTACCTTTTGACAACATTAACAAAATATACTTAAACAAGTTTTTATTTAGAAGTTTTCAGGGAAAGCCTAGATGATTATATAGTTGACATCCATGGTCTAGTTTTCTCATTGTTAGATAATGCTAAGCCTAATATAATTAATTACATTTGATGTATATTCTTACTATTTGTTTCTTAACTTTCTCATTGGGATTTATTTTGAAACTTCCTTTTTTGTCTTTCCCTCTTCCTTTTATTTCCAGAGAAGATTTAAAAACTTTTTTTTATAGTGAAAATTGTATGGATAGAATATTTTATTTAAAAATTGATTTTTTTCCCTCTAGGAAGTCTTTCTAACACAGAAAACTCTTTATAAGGATTAGCCTACTTTTTTAAAATCACATTTTGTAAAGCGGTCAAAACATTTTGCCTGTGCAATAATTAAGAACAACATTATAAAAATGCACTTATTCCATATCCTAAAATGTTTGTTTCTGCCTTCCTAATGAAGCTTAATGAATCTAATGTATTAACATGCAGTCTTTTGGAAAGCTTTCATTGGCTCTGCTTGGCTAATTAGTATCGACATAGCAAACAGGCCCTATCGGTATCAGACCATTAGTCTGGCTGTATATACAGTGTAAACACATCTTTATTATCTGGCTTCCTGACAAGCCATCTGCTGAAGAAACAATGGTGTGATTTAGCAGATGTTAGCTCTGAACGATAAAAGCATCCATTTAGGAGGATCTTACAGCTATAGGGCAGACCGTACAGGGTTATGTGGTGCAGAGTGGGCACACAGTCCCTATCTGTAATTTGTAGTCAAAGTTGCAGGGAAATGATAAAACCATGCTATTGTGGATTTATAATTGTAGTCTCGTTTAGAAATGCAAGTAGTAATTAACTTGAAATCGGCATTATACACTAGAATTTACATTCCTGCTGGGCTTGAAATGCTGTTTTAATAGCAGTTTGTTTTCCCTACATGAAATTACCTAAGGGTCTTTTGTGTTCTTTCATTGTAGATGCTATTAACATTCTAAAGGAAATGAAAGAGAAGGATGTTCTTATCAAAGACGCAACAGTCTTGTCCTTTTTTCACATCCTGAATGGAGCAGCTTTGAGAGGTGAAACTGAAACAGTAAAACAGTTACACGAAGCCATCATGACTCTAGGGTTAACGAAACCATCCACCATCATAAGTTCCCCATTGGTTACTCTGTATCTGGAAAAGTAAGTTAATTGAATTTTGAATTTTAAATGTTAGCATTAAAAGAATGAGTGTAATCATTTGGGGATTATACTTTATAAATATTCTGTGGTGCTGTGGAGGCCTTGAGGTTGTATGCCAAGAACAAGAGGACTTACAGGGACTAAGAGACCTTGGAAATCACCAGCAGCTGTGGGTCCTGTGGATCACTTCTCCATGGCATGATCTCTGCTGAAGTTTTGTGGGGCATGTGATGATATTACATGAAATCAAATTTAATTTTTTCAAGTTTTGAGCCTGATAAGTGTTAATTGTTAATAAGTATAAGAAAGAAGGATTCCCTGGGGCTTTTGACTATGCATCATGACTGTTAATCAGGCAACAGTGCACAGCATCTCTTCAGTGCTCCTTTTCCCTACGTCGGATTTCATTTTAATTGTGTGTATTGATAAGTGGTTTTTCTAGCTTTGATAAATATTATGGAACACATCTCTGTACCTTATGAGAAGATGAATTCTGTTTATAGGGCAGGATTTATTCAATTTAAAACTGTTCTATTTGAAATGCTTGTGTTGGTGTACTATTTGCAATGCAAATCATGAAATCAACCTACTCTCCTAATGAGTGAAACATTTTAGTAAGATGATTAAGTACCCTTTATTGTCTTCTTTTCCTTTTGTGTTTGTTTTTTAATTTCCTAGATCTTAACTCTTTGTCATATTTTCCATGCTTAATGCAGTGTATAATCTGCTTATTTCCTGATTGGGATTTTCTGATTTTAGTATGGATGTAGTGCTATCAATGCCAGGAGGAAAATAAAAGCTATGTCTTAGCAGTTCTTAATATTTTCCCCAAATTTCTGATAATTTTTCCTTATTTATTAGGGCATATGATTAATCAAATATAGTGAATGGTTTAGTTGAATTTAAAATGTAGAAGAAAAAATCTGTTAACTTGCTCTGTGTTAGGAAATATGTATGTAAATATATACACACACAAATATATGCACATACATGTTTTATGAAACAATTCCTTTGCCATCCAATCAAAAAACAGTTTATCAAGTTAGATGATTGGCCAAATCTGAACCTTCACAATCTCAGCATTACATCCTTTTAAAGAAATGGTGATTCAAACAATTACTGTGTTACTGAGTTCTCATGTTCACAGCCAACTTTATATAGAAATCCTATAATTAATATGCTTTCTGCTAGAATTTTTTGATTGTTTAAAAAAGACCCATCTCTGCAAATTGCATGTGGAGCTTTGCATAGGGATTTGAAAGAATGGGCCCAGTGCCCAGAAGAATTAGGCCCTCCTTCACTACTGGGCAAAAATAAAATAATTAACAATGAAAATGAGGCCATGTAGAAAAGTATCTTACAAACAGAAACACTTTGAAGACAGAGGAGACACAAAAGTCTTCCAAAACAGGTCTGCAGATGGGGCTCATGAACCAGGAGAGCTTACCCAAGGGAACATGGAAATACCACGGGCGTCAGACTTAACCTGGAGCTTGCTCTGTGCTTTTGATTTTGTAGTCCAGTCAGAGGTTTGTGTGTCTCAGTAAAATCTGACTGTCCCTGTCATTTGGACCAGAGAAATCTGTTTGCATCTTTTCTTTTATGACTTTTTCACTGCTTTCACATGGATAGAGAAATTGTTATTACCTTTTATTTTTATTTGCCTAGGGTTTTGGGTGTGGGGTGGGGTTTTTTTTCTGTCTTTGCAGAGGCAAGTCTGCACGACAAGGTCTTTCAAATTTATCTGTTATAATAAAAAGTTTTGTGGACTGTTTTAGAGTTTGAGAACAATAAAAAAGAGACAAAGGAAATTTTATGTTTATAAATTGTAGAAAACAGTAATAGTACTCTTAGTTGGGGATAAGTTGAAGGAAAAAAATTGACTTTAAACTCTTTTCCATTTGTGTTTTCCCCAGCTGATAGAAGGTAGCTAATTAATTCAGAACCTTGACAAGTGCAGTCCTAGGATTAAACTACAGTAGTTTGCCAAAAAGTCCAGATGTATTTGATTTGATTAAATGCTTAATCTTCAATAATATAATGTAATTGACCTCAGCAGGTATGAACTCAACTGGGGAATGAGACTTAATTATTCAAACGAGATAAAATTATGAAAAGCATTCCAGAACATTGTACAAAATCTTCCATCTTTTCATTCAAAGGCAAGCACCTTTTTGGAATGTCATAGCAAAGACTCCAAAGAGGCTTTTACTTACACATTGTAATTCTGGAGCAAATTCATGATGTGGAGTTCCTTAGAAAGATGATATTTAAGATTCAGTAGATTTTAATTTTGAACGGACTTTTCCAGCATTAGAAAAAAGAGGGGAGAAATTAACACTATCAGTTTGTTACTTGGATAATGTATAAAAAGGTTTTAGATATGGAAAATAATACATTTTGTTTTTGTTCATTTGCCAAAATAACAACAGGTTTGCCCAGTGATAAACAGGTTTGTAAACTAATCTGCTTTTCTATTATCAAAATGATAATACTGGCATTGAGCAGAAAAATAAGAGTTGAACAGAATTTTTCACGTGTTCTGTTTACATTAGGGTTGTTCTGTAAACCATGTGTGCACATGTCATCCAAGTGTTACTTTAAACATTTTCTTTCGTGGCTGTTTAAATTTTATTTTTTAATTGAAATCATACCTCATTCTGGGAAATGACCTGAATCCTCCATATTAAGGATGGAAGAAATGCTTTAAAATAGGTTAGAACAGCTTTCGATTCATCTTTATACAACATTAAAGGAAGTGAAATTAATAAAATCTGGGTCAATTAGGTTTAAAGGCATAAGAATTTGTATGATGCCGTTTTGGATTCACTTGTTTTATAGCTTATCTGCTTTGGTTTCATTGCATACAAAAAATATCTCAGGCTGTTTAACTGGATTATTTAGTACAACTGATCAAGGAAGCTTTAATTTTTGCTTTCCAATAAGGATCTTTCTGTGCTGATTTGTGCTGTAATCTGTATATGCCCACATACATTTCATGTAAGTGAATCATGGACTTTATATATAATCCTTTCAGAACTCTTGCTAAATTAATCTTGAGTTCTTCATAAAGGTCATAATTTCTGTTCGATAACAATGTGGGTTTTAAAACTCACTGTAGCACTTTAATATATTACATAAATGGAAAATATACTTTATTAAATGCTGGTTATTCTGTCATATACACGCCCCTTCAATTTTAGCATCTTCATTTGTACTGGATACTTTTATTATTTATGGGAATGCTTGCCTTCTAGACTAAAACTCTTTATGTGCTGAAAGGAAATTAAGGAGGTTTGCCTCTTTTACTCCATTATTGCAATTAAGAATTTAGCATCATCAGTGCCAAAGGACAAAAGTGTGTCATTTGCCCTAGGGGGACAGGACAGTGATAAGATGATTTTTCGTCAAGGATCATTGGGTCGTAATTAAGTTACATTCATGGCTATTGCTTTTTGAAGGATGATTGGTAAATGACAGGCTTCATGTGCTTAGTGCGGACAGTGTTCAGTAGGGTTTTTTCTCCCTCTGACAGAAAATCCTGTTGAGCCTGATAATGTAAATGTGGCATTTTATTCTGAACAAAAGAGCAGGGAAATGAGCTATCTTGTCTAATCATTCAGTTGTTTAACACCGACTTCCAGTTTAGACTCAATTGGCTGGAAAGCACTTGACATGTGAAGTTAGTTAGTGCTGTTCCGAACGCATGTTTGAGTAAATTTTAAAGTAAGTGACAGCTAAATTGTACCTAGGGAAATTACAAAGCCTTCAACACAGTTAATTTTTTGGGGAGGATTAGTTGTAATTGCAACACCAGTCTCCTTGAAGATTCCTCATTTATAGATGATGAACAGAAAAAAAAACATTTAGCTCTTTCAAGGACTGGTTCTTTTAACAGAGTAATTTTTGTGAAGATGATGGTTTCTCCTGAATTGATTTCTCTCCAAACAGAACATCTGCTTAAAATTTACAGAGTAGTTTGTTTTTAGAATGTTGGGGTGTTTTCCCCCCTTTTAAAAAAACTTTTTTCCCCCTGCAAAGCTCTTTTTTTCTCTAGTGATTTCAGATTTTGAGAGCTTTTTAGTCAATAAGCACTCTCTCTAAGTAAATTGCCACTTCTCTAACACTTTATGCATAATGTTGAAGCACTTTATTCCAATTAAAAATCAATATTTGTCATTTTTTGGTTGTTAAAGTTAAGTATACTCTCTGGATTGGAAAGTTATTTACCATAGTTAGGAAGACTATGTCTGAAGCTATGAATAGTTGAATGGATGGTTATGGTTGTTCGTGTCTAACAATCCAAGATCACATGAAACACGTGTGATTTTTTTTTTTTTTTTACAGTTACATGTAGTGGGGATTTGGGGTCAGGAGTGCTTTGTTTCCTGGGACGGTTAAGTAGATATTTTTATAATCAATGAATGCTGTATGTGAATGTATGTCCAGTGGGTTTTTGTGTCATGGACATTACAGCACATTTTAATTCCACTAATAAGGACGAAAACAAGAGGTAACAGTTGAAGGTTTGCCTTTTGGGATGTTCCTCCACGTAATAATGAGAAATTAAGTTCATAGTAGTTTTATCTATGGTCATATTTCCTTAGGAAAGTGAATTAGAGATTTCTAAAATGAATTTTAATATGAGCCAAGTGAGCCCGTTCATGTTAATAAATAAAACTTTTTTAAGTGTTTTAATTAAGTATTGTAATTGGACTATTATATAAATGTGTTCTTAAAACTTAGAATTATAGAATCTTTCTGCTGTTCTGCCTTTATTTCATAGACTTACAGAATTTTAATAAAGTTAATGTGAAGTTAATTTGCATCAATCAAAATATTTTTAAGTGAGTGCCTACTTTTTATCAGCACATAGTTTTATTCATGGAAGTTACGTATTTCACTGTGTTTTCGGAGGTAGTCTAGTCATTGAGCTATCACAGTGGGGTTTTTTAGAAATAATAATATGTTGTAGAGTTGATTTTCTTTTAGTATTTGAAGTTTGTGAAAGCAGTGGCTAAATTTTTATTAGGCACAGACTTACAATTTTTGTTCCATTTGTATATAAAGCTACAGGAATTATTCATACGGGGTAGGCAAAAGTAGGTTTACAGGTGTAAAACAAAGTTAACAATAATTAATAAATAATAATACAAGAATAAACTTTTGCGTACTCACTACTCTAAACCTACTTTTGTCCATCCCAGTATGTACTGCAGTAAGCATGGAATCAAAGTTTTGAATCCAGAGTTAATGTTAACAAGATTTCTTAAAAGGATTATTGTTATTTTAGGATAGGATTTTAAATCAGCTCTAGTGTTTTAAAGTATACAAAAGAAATGACAGAATCATTCTGGGTCACAGAAACTAGAAATGCACTGATTGGTAGTGTTGTGTCCACATTTGGGGTATAAAGTAATTAACACATTTTCCTTTAGATATTTTGCTGCTCTTAATTCCTTCATCTTGCCTAATAAAAGGGGTATTTTCACAAGATGATTTTCTCTGCTGGTGTGAAATAAAACATTTGAGTTGATGAACCTAATAGGCCTAAATTCATAGGACCTCACATAAGAATACTCCAGCTGGGGGGGAACCCAAAGGTCCTTCAGTTCAGCAGTTGTGAGAAGCTGCTTTTCATCACCTCTTCTAGATAGAAATGTATCACATTGCTGCAGCTGAACTGCATATACTAATCAGTAGGACTGAAATTCAAGTCTCATGAGTATACAGCTCTTTTCATTGCAATATGAATTTTAGATACTTCTTCATGTTTACTTCCATCACCAAAGTTTCCCCGCTTTAATAGGAAAGATTAATGATGACATAAAATTATATGAGGAATGAACCCTTTTATCTCTTTTTAAAGTGACAGGATCCAACCACAAGTCAGAATGTAGATAACTGGGATTGAAAAGAAACGGACTAGTTGTTAGTTCATTTCTATCATGAGTATAGTTTGTTTGAAATGTTTCATTATAGATTTCGAATTCTTTTTGTTGGCAACCTGAGGGCAGTAACATCAGTACTTAAATTTCTAACAAATATATGAATTATTTCCATTTTGCTATTCTTGTCTTTTCTGTTGTTGTTCTGAGCAGGTATAATCTTTAGAAGCATATATTTGGAGACCAAAGACTATTAACATGTCTCTTTGATTGACAGAACAATTATTCATTCATTTATTGATAGCTTTGACCTAAAGTAGGAGAAATGCAATTGAGACATTACTATTCTAGTTTGGGAATTGATCTGAAAAAGCAAATCATACCGCTTTTAAAAAATCAGTATGTGTTAGCTTTTCTCTTAAAAATATTTTAGTAGTTTTCCATTAAATGGAATTGTAGAAAGGTAATAACTGAACTTGTGTCTGAAGCAAGGGAAAATACTGATTATATAAAGCTTTATATCATATGTGTAGCTACTGTAGCATTTCTCTTGCATGACAGTAATCTAGCCTGCAACATCTACTTGCGGTTTTGAAATTAACCTGTAATTTAGTCTTCACCCCAAATGACAAAAATTCAAATGACTCTGTGGGGTGCTGGAAGATGCACTGTAAACAGGGCTCAGTAAGGGGATGAGGTGGAGTTCCATCAGGATGGGCTCCTTTTCACTGTGTCAGTAGTCTTGCAGTGAAATTAACGATTCTCCATGCTATTTTACTTTTTCAGTGTGGCTTAAAATCTTAATCTAGATAAAATAGTAATTCAGCCTAGGGCAACATAACATTTGAATAATGGACCAAAATGTTAGGGCTTCAACAGAAAATTTAAAGGGGCTTTCTTTCAAGAACTGCTGTATCCAAGAAAGGAATGTGTTTTCTCCACTAATGTTGACACTGCCATTAGTACTGCTTCGGTCCATGTCTCTAAGCAGGCCTCTTTTTTAAAAAAAAATACATTTCACGCTCTTTAAAAATTTTTTATTTCTTATTCCAAATTGCATTGACTATTAGGTTAAACAAACAACAGTGCTTTTAATGGAGCTTAATCTAGAATTAGGCACACTCCATGGAAGTGGGAAGTCCAGGGACCTGATGGCCACGCCTTTCTTCCTCTGTTCACCTGGCAGTTGTCAGTCAGTCTCCAGATGCTCTCACTTCCTTATCTGTGTAAAAGTGAAGGGTGGTGGCAGGTAGAATTGGATCAGATAATGTACAGTTTTTCCAAGGTCTTACGTATTACTCATACTGTCATTTCCTTTTACAGGAAAAAGTTTTTGAGGATTCACAAGAACGTATTTCTACATTCTTGTTTAAGAAACTGACTTAATGAAAATATTTTTTATTTTAATTTATTACCACATCAGAGAAGTCTTGACTTTATAATTGGAAATAATTTTTAAAAGCTTACCCTCTAATGAAAAGCCTTTTAAGAGTTCTAGAATTCACTGAATTCACAAGAATATCCTAGCTTTAGCAACAGTACATTTCTCTATGTATGAATTTTAGTTATTTTCTCCTCATCTGGAGAGATGGCAGTATAAAAAATAAGATAAAGGTGGAAGTGCTTGGAAATGCCTTGATAGCTGTTGACAGACATTTAATAAAGTTTCCCAAATTTGGAATTATTGAGAACTATAAATGCATAAGTAGTTACAAAAATATTGGATGGTAGTCATTGTTTTTAGAAATAATGCATTCTTAGAGTAATCTTGGAGAATATGGAACCTTCATCTATTTTGACTTTTTTTATAGTGCCATTTAGCAAGTAAAATTGTAAAAGATGAAGCAGGGAAAGCAGGGAACTGCTGATGATGTCTGAACACTTATTTATATGTAAGGATTGTTTCTCTTACTGTTTTTTCATTTTGGCTTCATGGTTTTCTGCCTCAAAGCATAGTCGTGTACATTTTTAACTGGTCATTGTACATGTCTCTAAACTAACACGTATTTTTTTCATTGTTAATATTTTTATGTTTTCAAGGGATGACTTACCTGCTGCTCTTGAAGCCACCATTGGATGCTATGAAAAGTATAAAGTATTACCGAGGATTCATGATGTCTTATGTAAATTGATAGAGAAAGGCGAGACTGATCTAATTCAGAAAGGTTAGTCACTTTTTAATATCCCGGTGTACTCCGAGTTGCCGCTGCCCCTCCCCCTCCCCTTGCACTCATCGCTTATTTAATCTTAATGCATTGCTGTGAAAAGAAAATGGAACACGAAGGCAACGCACATCCAGAGAAAATGTTATACTTCTAAATTAAAAATATATCAGGTAGGTTTTCATAATTGTAAATGTCCTTGATTTTAACAACTGCTCATTTTTAAAAGTTGCCCCTCTTATTTTCTATGTCTTGGTGATGTAGCTTTATGAGGACTTTCTGCCCTCATTGTCACCAGTTCCCTCTGAAGCTGGTCGTAGGTACTGATTGTTATAAATGGGTGCTGTTAAATAAAGACTGTGCCAGGAAGTTGGTTGGCATAGCTGTAATCTTTAAGATGTTCTAAATATATATTCTACTGTTTTCTTATATTTTTCTAGAACTTCAGCTGATGCTGTTCCTCTACATTTTTTTCTTCTAATATATTTTCTTCTTTCCTCTCTAGCAATGGACTTCGTGAGCCAAGAGCAAGGTGAAATGACAATGCTCTATGATCTCTTCTTTGCCTTCCTACAGACAGGAAATTACAAAGAGGCCAAAAAGATCATTGAGGTGCGATTTTAACTACAGTATTCTAATTGTACAGCCTTTTAGACTCTTAATTAGAATATGTTTTAAAATTTTAACCTTTAATTACACTTGTTCTGATTCATGTTAATATAATTCAATCCCAGTAATGGGGTGGGGGTAGGGAGAAACTCGGCCAGCTTCTTTATTGTATATAATTACAGTTCAAAAAAGGCAGCCTGGTTGTATATTGAATTTGTTTCCTTACTTTGTTAAATTCACTGTTATATATCAAACTGATATTTGCATAAATCTTGGATTGTGGAACAATTAAATTAAACTGGCATTCCTGGGTGTAAAGTTACTAATCCTCTTTGCCAAGGAATTCTTTGTTCTTAAAAGCAGTGGAATTTAATTTGTTGCAGTTCATGCTCAGATTTATTTGTAATGCTTGTCTGCAAGTTAATCAACCAAACAAGTGCTGTCCGCAACTGTTTGGCATTTAATTTAGAATTTCTCTCTCTCTGTCTCTTTTTTTAACTGTGGTAAGCAGCTTATGAGAATAGTAGGTGACAAACCTGGCCTATTTAGGATTTAGCGTATTTTGTCTAAGCGTGATTGAAATTTTGCTTACTGAAATTAATAAGTCAAAGGGCACCTATAAAGTCTGTCCTAATTGTGATTAATTTTACTATTAAACAATTCTGTGTCCCCTAAAAAACAAACTGTTTCCAAAAGATGGAACCATAACCTTAAAGAAATATTTAATGTGATTAAATAAATTTGTAAACACATCAGTAATCATGTTTCTCTCAGATCATGCTTTGCCATTACTTCATTTCTTTTTCCAGAAGTGCCCATGGTGGACAGCACACAGGTGTGGTGTTTGGCCCTCTTGATTGTATATTGATGACTCCTTATCATGAAATTGCAAATGTAGACACACAACCCATAAAATTACTAGTTTCTATTGATGTTTTTGAAAGAAAAGTCTAGTATGGAAAAGGAAGACTATGAAATTAATTCAGAACTTTCTTCTCTTATTGTTTGTCTTATAATTCAGTTGATCCTCCTGCCAGAGGAGAGTGGGAAATGCTTTCTTGGACAGGTGTTTCTGTAGCTCAAGTAGTTCATTTGTATTATGTAGAAATGGTTTATAAATTTTTTCATTGTAAGTACACGGTGGGTCTGTCAGAAATTGTGAGGGGAGCTGCCTGCCTGTTGAGTTCTGTTGCTCTTTATACATGGTGTCAGTACAAGCAGGGCAGCGATCAGAGTAGAAGTGAAGCTCAGCTATTCACATAATGGTGATGAAAGGTTCTATAGTAGGCAGTCATGTGCCTTTGTACGTAATAAGCAAGACACAATAGGAAGAGCCAAAGGCATAAGAGTGAGTTCTCCTTTTGCCATTTACTGGCTAGTGTGATAATGGACAAGTTACTAAACCATTTTACACTTTCTTATCTATACAAGGGAGTACAGGGTGGGGCAAAAGTAGGTTTACAGTTTATATGGAAAATAATAATAATTACAAGAATAAACTGTTCCATGTACTCAGAACTGTAAACCCACTTTTGTCCTACTGTATATAGTCTTTTTTTAATACTCAATCACATAATGTATGTAAAGCAGCTTTCCTGCTTCCTGGATTATGACAGTAATAAATAATATTAATTCTCTTCGCTCCTTAAAGGTAGGGATTGTATTTTCTTCTTTACACCACATAATTCATAATATGATGCTTAGCAGAAGGTATATGCTTGTCACATGAATAGGTAAGAGAAGACTGCCTCTTAATTACTCTAAAGCTTTGCCAGTGTACATCATCACTAAGTGTAATCATTTAGGAATGGCTGTCTACTGATTATACAGTTTTCATAGTGGATATGTGTAAAATTGCTTAAAGGATAGAGAACAGCTTTGTAGAATCCTTGCAGTCCGCTAGAGTAGTTCAGCAAGGTGTGTAACATGAGAATATGCTGAAACACATTTCAGTCGCGTTTTTAATGGTTAGTTGGAGTTGAATTAAAGCTGGGAACTTGCTTTTTTTCACTGTGGAAATTTAAGACCTGGAACTTTTCTTACAGTTTTCTAAGGATTATTAAAAATATAAAAAGTAAAGAAAATTAATAAGCTGGGACTGTATCAGCATATAAAGGAATATTACAAAATACTGAGCAACATTTTCATCATTCCCCAAAATGCAATAGAATCTTATCAATGAGTCAGTCCATTAGGGTTGAATTTCCAAAGCAAAGTATACAATGAAGCTTCTTGGCTTTGAAGCACTGCGGGAAATAAACCAGTGATTAAAATGAGCATAGTCTGCCCTGGCTGCCCTGGCTCAGTGGATTGAGTGCCAGCCTGTGAACCAAAGGGTTGCCGATTTCATTCCCAGTCAGGACACCTGCCTGGGTTGCAGGCCAGGTTCCTAGTAGCGGGTACATGAGAGACAACCACACACTGATGTTTCTCTTCCTCTCTTCTTCCTTTCCCCTCTAAAAATAAATAAATAAAATCTTAAACAATTAAAAATAAAATAAAGTGAACATAGTCTTATGTTTTATATCTATACACGGATTATTGCAGGAAGGTGGAATTGTAGCTGGTATTTCGCTTTATACTTTTCTGTATTTTCTGATTTTTCTAAGCACACGAGGTTTGTCCAGAAGGTATCCAGCCATATAATATGGAAAACAGAGACATTTATTGAAGAAGATACAAGATACAGGAAACATTGTACACAGGACAATGATGACTCAGTCCCCTTCAAAGTAGGCACCTTGGGACCTCACACAGTTCTCCCAATCTCCATCAGCTGCCTGCTCATATTTTCCTGAATCTCATCAACTGAAAATCATTTCCCTTTCAAAGGTGATTTTAGTTTTGGGAAATGCCAGAAGTTGTAGGGTGGTAAATCTGGTCTGTAGAGGGCTGAGTCACCTGGGTAATTTGATGTTTCTCCAAAACACTCTGAACGAGACATGATGCATAAGTGGGCACTTTGTAGTAATGAAGCTGCCAATCAACAGTTGCCCGTAGCTGCACCCTTCTGAATCATCTGAATAGTTTCTGAGGAGGAATGTTCAAGCTTAACGAAAAATACTGATGCAGATTCGTTGCTCTACTCATTCATTTTGAATGTGATATCCACACAGTACACATGTTCACTCAGTGGTGTCTACCACCCCCACTGACTAGTACAGTGAAGTTGTCATTGTTCACACATGCGCATTCTCGTTCATTCTCCTTGGCTGCCAGGTTACATTGATGTCACGCAAACCATTATTGTTCTGTTAACAATGGCTGGACTTTATCTGGACAGACCTTGTATGTATATATATTTTTTAAAATACATAATCTTTATTATATTTCTTTCCATTACCATTTAGTCCCCCTCCCCCAGCAGTCACCACCCTGTTGTCCACATCCACAAGTCCTTTTTCTGTTTTACTCAATTCCTCCACCCCCTAATCTTCCCTCACACTAGCTGTCATCTGTTCTTCATCTATGAGTCTGTCTCTGTTTTGCTTGTTAGTTCAGTTTGTTCATTAGATTTCACATGTGAGTGAAATATGGTATTTGTCTTTCTCTGACTGGCTTATTTCACTTAGCATAATGTTCTTCAAGTCCATCCATATTGTTGCAAAGGGTAAAATTTTCTTCTTTTTTATGAGAATTGCATTGTGTAAATGTCCTATAGTTGTTCTATCTACTCGTCTATTGGACACTTGGGCTGCTTCCATATCTTGGCAGTTGTAAATAACGCTGCAGTGAACATAGGAGTGTTTATGTTCTTTTGAATTAGTGTTTCAGGTTCCTTTGAATATATTCCCAGAAGTGAAATCGCTGGGTCAGAAGTCTCTCCATACTACTTTCCACAGTGGCTGTACCAGTCTGCATTCCCACCAACAGTGCAGAAGGGTTCCCCTTTCTCCATATCCTTGCCAGCACTTGTTGGTTTTTGATTTACTCATGATAGTCATTCTGACAGGTGTGAGGTGATATCTCATTGTGGTTTTAATATGCATTTCTCTGATGATTAGTGACATTGAGCATCTTTTTGTATGTCTGTTGTCCATCTACATGTCCTCTTTGGAGAAGTGTCTGTTCAAGTCCTTTGCCCATTTTTTAGTTGGGGTTTGTTTTTTTCTTGTTAGGGTTTTTTTTTTTTTTTTGGTGTTGAGTTTTGTAAGTACTCTATACATTTTGGATATTAACCTCTTATCAGATGTATTGGCGAATATGTTCTCCCATTTCACATATATTCTTATAGTCAGAAAAAGTGTTATTTCCTTCCAAAAAGAGTAAGAAAGAAAAGCAAAGCAGACTAAGACCAGCCCTCAGGGAGCTAATGTAAAGCACTTTGAACGTGAAATTAAATGTGAAGAGAACTTCTGTATAAGACTAAGAAGTGTTAACTGCTGTAAGTATAAATGGTACTACAAGTTTAAGAGTAGAACTTATTCCCAAATAGGAAATTAGGCAAGACTTTCTGGAGGAAGTAGGGTATGAGAAGGAGACTGATGGGTGTGGTAGTACTTAATATTGGGGAGTTTGAGGATTTGGAAAGTATATTTTTGAAGTATTAGAGCAAAGAAGTAGAAGAGGGGAAATCACTAAATATCTCTCCCCAGCTGTGTTGAAATATACAGGTAATTGACATGTAGTGTTTTGTAAGTTTAAGGTACACGTATTTATATATTGCAAAGTGATTACCACGGTAGCATTAGTTCACACCTCTGTCACTTCACATAATTGCCATTCTTTTTTGTGGTGAGAACATTTAAGATCTCTCTTAGAAACTTTCAGGTAAATAATACAATATTGTTAACTATAATCACCATTCTGCATATTAGATCCCTAGAATCTGTTCATCTTATAACTGAAGGTTTGTACCCTTGACCAACATTTCCTCCACCCCTGAGCCCCTGGCAACCACCATTCTACTTTCTGTGTCTAGGAGTTGGAGTTTTTAAGATTCCACATATAAGTGATATCTCACAATATCTGTCTTTCTCTTGTCTGACTTATTTCACTTAGCC